CTACACTATCGTTTCTTCCTAAGCCAAGTCTGCAGGTTCTGATAAAAAGCACGACACATATGTATTAATTTAATTTTGCATTCTAAATGTTCGAATTACATTCCTGCTCAAGCTCAAATGCATATAAATTACACAATACCGGTACTGTATACCACTGAAATACATTACGTTGAAGAATATCCATTCCTGATATTTTTCGGGTGGCAAATCTTCATGTAAGATTGCAGTGATCTAGCATGCAACAAACTATATTCATTCTGAGACGCCAGTCCATTGTTGGTGAGGAAGCGGACACAGCAACATCATAGAATCTCGGTACAGAGGACATCGCCACAACCTACTGTTCTAACTTCTGCCCAACTCTTGGCATACCTACTCCAGGGAAGTTCCTTCATACCGTGACAAATACCTTCGTCTTTGGTGCGCGTCTTAACTCAGTATATAAGCAACACAATCATCCTGCTCTACTTCAGATTCTTGAAGAGTACGGTGCACAATCACCTGCTCCCAAGCTGGTACGAGGACTCGCATAACCTACTGCTAACTTCTGCCAACTTCTTGCTGACTCTATTCCACTGTAAGTTCTTACAGTAATACCTTCGTTGCTGCGTCTTAATAGTATATAGCACCAACACTGTTCTCCCAGATTTAAGAGTACGGTGCAAATCACCTCTCCCAGTCTGAGGACTATACCTCCTTTCCACTGAATGACTGATAATGTATATGGATGGCCGACGTTCTTAATTATTACCCGAGTCACATCTTAATTCATCATTTTATCATTATATATTTTATTTTATTCTTCTTTAATAAACCCCAATTATTACATTTTATCAAATAAATGTAGTTTATTATTATTACATATGTATGGAGAAGCGCTAAACCTGTAGGAATTAAAACAGAGTCTAAGGAGCTGGGGGTAATCAGATTAGTATAAAATATATGACTGGCGGTTCCAGTTCGTTGAATCAAGAGCCCTTTACGGGAATTGAAGACATCCTACATACATGTATATGTATATATATATATATATATATTATATAATATATATATATATATATATATATATATTATATATATTTTTATATATATATATATATATATATATATATATATATATATATATATATATATATGTCGTGCCGAATAGGCAGAACTTGCTATCTTGGCTTAAATGCAACGCTTATCTTGCCATATAGGACAAGCGAAAATTTGTGTATGCAATAATTTCGCCAAAATCATTCTGAACCTAACGAAAAAAATATATTTCATTGTGTTTGTTTAGTATTAAATTATTGTAAACAAATCTAAAATATATTTAGTTAGGTTAGGCTAAAATAAATTGTTCTTGTTATAATAAGGTTAGGTAAGTTTTTCTAAGATTCGTTTGGTGTCAAAACTAAAAATTTTTACATTAACATTAATGAAAAAAATATATCTTTAAACGTACAAGAGAAAATTTAGAAAGACTTAATTTTAAATGAGCTCTTGCTAATTGACCAGTTTTACATATTCGGCACGACATTATATATATATATATATATATATATATATATATATATATATTATATATATATATATAATATATATATATATATATATATATATATATATGTCTCAATAGGATATTATTATGTTATATACAACTATCTTGAAGTGGAGGAAAATTAGATACATATTTGCAAAATATTCTGACCTCGAAATTTTTATTGTGTGTTATTTTTATTGTAACGTTTCAACAAATTTTTTCGCATTACCAAAAAATTACGCTTGTGTAAATGTATTAATTTCTGCGTCATTTACATTTATTCATTAATGTAAAAATTTTAAGTACAGAGAAATTTATGAAATGATTAAGTTTAAGAGCCTAAATTGACTACACAATTGGGAAATATATTCATAAAAAATATGGGATATAATATAACTAATCTAGTGGTATACTAGCTACTAAGGAAATACACATTCTAAATGGATATTAGAGTGTAATACAGTGATACTTGCGTATTTTGTCCTCTCAATTCACTGAATATTTTTCCATTGTAATCAATCAAAATTTCTTCCTCCAATCATAATGTCAATAAATTTCTGTCATTTCAAACTCAATTATGTCAAATTACTCTTTTCAGAAAAGATTCACTAACTAAACAATATTCTCCAACCCAAAAAATTGGATTATGTAAAACTAATTATGTATACTACCCCTACAAATCACCATATAATATAAAACATTGTATTATACATTCTTGTAGCGCCAATTTCTGTCCCGTAAACTCACTCTAATTTCTATCCTTCTAAATCAACATCAAAATTTCTATCCCTTCAAATACACTCAAATTCTATGTTTTTCAATCACCATTAGAATTACTCTTTCAGAAAAAATTCACCTTCTAAATTCATATTCTCCAAACCCACCATATAAATTTCTTTTTCAAATTCATCTAAACTTTTATCCTTCAAATCACCAATAAGTCATAATCAAATGTGTATTTAAGAACAGCTCAAGTAGCATCATCAGCTGCTGAGACAAATAATCGCCACTGACCCTAAGATAACAGCTCAAATCCCTAGGATCAAGAGATGTGCACCAGCATCAAGACACTCAGCATCCTTCTTAAGTCACAAATATTAATTTCCTTTATAGTCAAGTATTATTATTTACCCCATTTATCAGGATCGTCTCATTATTCACATCATTTATCAAGCCCGTCTCATTATTTGCATCATTCTTCTTTACTTTCTTCATTATATTCATTATTCACCGTTATTTACATGTTCCTCGCCCCTCGTTATCTCATTAAGCAATTATCCTCCCCTACTCAGCCATTTTTAATGATGATATTGTTCATATTATTAGCTCCGTAGGTAGTTTTATAGGTCATTACCAAGGTTAAGTAAGAAAGGGAGAGTGAACGAGAGAGAGAGAGAGAGAGAGAGAGAGAGAGAGAGAGAGAGAGAGAGAGAGAGAGAGAGAGAGAGAGAGAGAGAGAGAGAGAGAGAGAGAGAGAAAGAGAGAGAGAGAGAGAGTCCTTAACTTGTAAATAGCTTGTCAATAAAGCTAGGGATTCTTAATCTAACCTTGTCAAACCCTGTATAAAAAAAGAGAGAGAGAGAAAGGGAGGAGAGAGGGAGGGAGACAGAGGTAGACAATCACACACACACACACACACACACACACACACACACACACACACACATACACACACACACACACACACACACACATACACACACGACTTCCAGTAAAACCCCCCGTTCCTCCCTCCTCTCTCTTTTTCTCTCTATCTCTCTTCTCGAGACCTAGCGACCCGTTCCTTCTCATTTACTTTAGAATGTAGCAAACTTGACAGGTAAACAGAATGAATGTTCATTAATTTCTTGCCAGGTGCTGTGCACCTGCCGTGGCTCATTACTGCCAAATGCAGTAAAGTTAATTGGAAAATAATATACAAGATAATGTATATATTATGCCGTAATAGTAAGTCAGAAACTGTCAAACTTGAGTTTTCTAATTAAAATACTTTGTCCAATATATATATATATATATTATATCTATATATATATAATATAATATATATATATATATATATATATATATATATATATATATATATATTACATAATATATGTATATATATATATATATATATATATATATATAATATATATATATATATATATATATATATATATATATGTATATATATATATATATATATATATATATATATATATATATATATATATATTATATATATATATATATATATGTCGTGCCGAATATGTAAAACTGGACAATTAGCAAGAACTCATTTAAAATTAAGTCTTTTCTAAAATTTTCTCTTATACGTTTAAAGACATATTTTTTCATTAATGTTAATGTAAAATTTTTTAATTTTGCACCAAAAGAATCTTAGAAAACTTACCTAACCTTAGTATAATAAGCGCAATTTATTTTAGCCTAACCCAACTAAATATATTTTAGATTTGTTTACAATAATTTAGTACTAAACAAACAGTGAAATACATTTTTTTTCGTTAGGTTCAGAATGATTTTGGCGAAATTATTGCATACACAAATTTTCGCTTGTCTTATATGACAAGATGAACGTTGCTATTTAAGCAAAGATTGCAAGTTCTGCCTATTCGGCACGACATATATATATATATATATATATATATATATATATATATATATATATATATATAAAAATATAGGAGTACCACTCTAGAACTGTCATATATATATATATATATATATATATATATATATATATATATAATATATATATATAATATTATATAATATATATATATAATATAATATATATATATATATATATATATATATATATATATATATATATATATATAAATATACATATTAATCATATATCTTCTAATCTATTAGTCCATCTGTTAAATGTCAAGGTCTGCACAGTGCCATAATTAGAGGGGGGGGAGAGGCTTTAAGCTCTCTAAGGTCATAAAGTTCCTGGTAAATGAGAGGCGATCAGGTTCGATCTAAATCAAATTCTTTGAATATAGTGTCCGTTATTGGGATCAAGAACCAGCGGTCAAGATCAAGAGCCAGTCGTCGGGATCGAGAGCCAGTCGTCGGGATCGAGAGCCAGTCGTCGGGATCAAGGCACAGCCCTTGAGTGATAGGAAATCAAGACCATCTTCTGAGTGCTCTTCAAGGCACGCGGATTCCAGAGGAATACTCACAGATGCGTATTTTCTAAGACTAATTATTATCGCTATGTTCAAAAAATTTCACTAAACTCGTATGGGTTAAACAGTGTTACAAAGACTATGCATAACATCACACACAAGAAGCAGTGATGACTTTACACCACCGTGATATTATTAATTATTATTATTATTGTAGGCTGAAGCAGGCTCGAAAGCCTATGGTATCATGCAGCAACTTAACACCCAGAATCACATTAAGTTACATATTATTTTAGGTAAGGTAAAATTGTGTGTGTATGTCAACTCACTTCCTGATGGCATAAATGTTTAAAAATCGTGTGTCACTTGTTTGCTTCACCGAGCGTGACGCACATACTGCCTGGCTATCCTACCGGGAAGCTCCTGAGCATGATCGGCTAGTTCCCGGTGCTCAGCGAGCGTATGCACGGCCGGTTGCCACTCAGATACACACCATGGACAAGCTGGGCTAACGCCAAGGCTGTCCCACACACACTGAGGCTCGACCCACACTGAGCCAGCCAGCCACCACCACCACCACAGCGCTGCCGTGGCCAGACCACTAGCTGGTCTTACCGCACCTGCCCAGGGCTGGTTAAATAGGTTTAAAGACTGTGGACTACATAGTCATTAAGGTTTCATGTCACCTGTGTAGTATACACCACTTATGGATACTCTAATATACGGATTAGAGCAAACTCCCAGCGTATATACAGATACACAAGCCCCATATGTATATGCCCTTGTTACAACAATAAGCTAGATATAACATACACAAGCGCACACACACCATATATATATATATATATAATATATATATATATATATATATATATATATATATATATATATATATATATATATATATATATATATATGTATATATATATATATATATATATATATATATATATATATATATATATATATATGTATATATAGACATATATTTGAAAGGCACAACCATAAATCTAGTTGTACAATATATCGAAGATTATGAATCTCCTCCAGCTCCTCTGATGCTGGACGCGAGACAACTGTGCGGCAGGCATTTCCCCTGTGGATGCCCACGCTGAGGCGCTGCAACATGAAAGTGGCTACCCAAGGGTCCCTGTTAGTGTCAGTGAATCTGGAACTCAGTTCTTTGAGGAAGCACGTGGCATTCTTTCCCAGTGATCCCGAGGTCTCTTATCCCACTGGGAAATATGGATACTGATGGCTTATGTCTCTGTACTTGCTGATCTTGTACTCCTCCCTCTGATCTGCAGCACCCCACTATTGCCCAAAACTGTAACGACTGTAGGTGTCAGCCAGCGTCGACAAGCAGGTATAGTCCCATGCTAAAAGCTTGCCATTCTTCTAAAGATAGATGAGGATCCCATTGGGGAGGTTTGCAGCATGGGAGTATTGCTGAATGCTAGAGATCGTGACTCTCAGCCGGGCACCCAGCAGTAGCAAGGCTCCTCTTTATGATGTCGTTGACTTCATTGCGTCTTCCGGGCCAGCCCTAGGTTTTGGAGCAGTTTAGACCAAATAGACCATATTGATTGGCTTGCGCATCACCGCAAATACACGTATATTCCGCGTGGATTTGGGCAGCGAGGCGGAGAGCCACTGCATAATGGAGGGTCTGTAGGTCGAATCATGTTCCAATCGCCGAAATGGGAACTGTTTGGATGAAGTTCCCATAGTGATATGCGCTCACAGCTTGGAGATGGGCAGTCTTTCTGTTGGATATTGCAGACCTGAGCATGTTGTCGTGCATCTTTTCAACGGTAGGGCCGTCCCACCTGGATTGTTTGTAGACCAGTGCTGCACTAAGTTTTGGTGCAGGAGCAGTGAGAGTCTCCCATTCCGTAATGTCACTGGTGTGGCAAGGATTATGTATTCCTGCTAAGAAACCAATGTTGAAAGAAGAATTTGTTTTATTAATTCGTCTGATGCTATGGAGATGAATAAGAAAGTTAGGAGGGCAATCTGGGAGGAATTCCATATTCCCAGCTCCCCAAACCTGACTGGAAGTGAGGCTTGCAGTCATTGTCCATCTTCAAGGGGTAGATTCAGTACACTCTCTAGCATTGTCTTTAGGAGGGAGTCATACTCCTTGAGCTTCGGACTGCTGAAGGCTGGGAAACATCTCAAGCAGTAGGTAAGTTTTGGGATGGAGAGGCACCTGGTCAGTAGGTAGAAGGCATCATGAGTATAAATTTCTTTCATCCTGCATCCCATCGTCCTGAGGCCTGAATTTTTTTTTCTAGAATCAGTTAATGGCATTCGATCCAAGAGGAGCACCAAGGAGAATGCAATTGGCTGGAACGATTAAATATATATATTTTATTATTATATTTATTTTTAAAATTATATATAAAATATATAATAAATATATATATATATTTTAAAATATATAAAATATATATATATAATATAATATATATATATATTATAAAATATATTTTATATAAATATAAAATATATATATATATTATTTTTTTTTTTTAAACACACGGGCCCAAATTTTCCCCCCAAAGGCAGGGGGGCCCCGAAAAAAAAAAAAATTTTAAACCATCTTTTCACTCAATAAACTGTTTTGCCCAAAAGGGTGTTTTCACACTAAGTTTTTTAAAACTGCAACTTTTAACACCCTTCCTTTTCAGAGTGCAGGCACGGTATTTTTCCCCCTTTCTCCGGGACTCAACCCGGGCCCTCCCGGTTTTCCCCCCCTTAAAATTCCCCCTTCAAAAATTTTTACTTTGCTCACCCCCTCCAACAGTACTCTTTTTTTAAAAACCTTTTTTGTCTCCTTTCACTCCTATCTAAAAAACCGCTCACGCTTTGGCCTGCGGGAAGCCCAAAACCCCTTTCGCACAACAAAACCCCCTTTTAAAACCCCCCCCCCCAAACCCTTTTCCCAAAAGGGCCGCCCCCTAAAAACCGCCCCTTTCCCTTCCACTACAGATTGTTTACACTCTTGAAGTCTTTCTTTTTCGCCTCCTTTCCCCTCTACATGTCCAAAACCCAACCTCAACAACCCTTTTCCCTCAGCCCTCTGGCAACAGTTTTTGGTAATCTCGAAAACCCCCCCTCCAACTTCCAAAACAAAACAATTTCCTCTGCATTATATTCACCCACACAGGGGCCCTTTTCCCAGACATGACATCTTCACTGCCTTCCCTTCCCCCGCGGGCGCCAAACATTCCCCCCATTTTTCCACACCCCATATAAGAGCTTTGGTAAAACAATACTCTCATAATTCCCCTCTTTGTTTCCCAAAGGGGCCCAAATAAAATTCATAAATATATTATAATAAAATTTTAAAATATATATATATATATTTTAATAATTTATATATATATATATATATATATAGTTTTAATATATATATAAAATTATATATATATAAAATTTAAAAATTTTAAAATTTATATATATATATAAATAAACTATATAAAATATATATAAATATAAAAAAAAAAAAATAAAATATATATATTGAATTTCCAAGGGGCACTCTTTACTTCTCCATTGTCAATTTCCCTTTTTTCAAGGGTGGAAGCCCCAGGGAAATGGGTTTTGGGAATTTTTAAGTACGTATTTTTTTTTCCACAGGGGTTGTTCTCCCCTATTGGTATATATCAAGTAAGAAACCCAAATTCAACACAAAAAAGGGGCAAAAATTTCGGTAAAATTTAAAAAGGGCCTTTACACCCCGTACAAACTTTAATGAACAAAAAAAGGGTATCCCCTTTGACGACACTAACAAGGGGCCCTTTTTTCTGAAAATGTTACAGATCACATTTTTATCCAAATTAATTGTTTCCTTCCCTGGGGCCTATCTGAAATTACTAATTTTCACAAAAATTTTCAAAACCCATTTCGAAAATTTCCCTTTAATCCGGGGGCTTTGCTACTTTTAAAAACCCCTTCCTATCTCAATGTATTTGTCATGGTCTTTTCCTTCGGGAACGCCGTGACTTTATTTGACCTGACTTTTGTCTCGCCCCTCCATTTCCCCCCTTGATTTGTCTCCTGTGTTTTTTTTTTTTCCCTTTTTCCCTATTTTCTTTTTCTTTTTTCCTTTTTCCCTTTCCCCCTTTTTCTTTTTTTTTTTTTTTCCTACTTTGGACTATTGCCCTTCTGAAAGTGCTCCCTCGGGCCCTTTGGGAAGTGGTGTCCTTGTTGACCCCTTTGGGGATCTCCCCCAACCCCGGGGGAATTGTAATAAAATTTTTTAACTTCATTTACTCTGTCACTAATCTTTGGGCACAGAAATCGGGTGGCCCAGTGGGGTTGCTGAAATGCTTCTCTGTTTTTCCTTTTTTCTTTGTACTGCCATTACTAAAAATTATTAAAAATTTTTCCCCCACAAAACAAAACTCTCTACTATTTCCACTATTTATTTTCTACCACTACTAAACTACGAAACCCAAACCCCCTCCTTTTTCCACCACTCAACAACCCAATTATTACTACGACTAACTACTCCCTACTACTACATTAAAACTACGTTACTTTTACCTTTAAACTCCCTTATTCCTCCCCCTCGATTTTGGTATTTTGGTCCCCTTTTGGGTTTTTGGGGTCCCCTTGACGATCCAGGAGGTACTGAAACGTCGTTCTTTCCCAATGCAAAGTTATTTTTTAAATTTTATTACGGGTCCCTCCCTAGGCAACATAAACTATTTAAAAAGGGAAGCATTCATTTTTGAAAACAAGTAAAGGGTTCCGAAAAGGGGAAAAACGGGACCAAAAAAATAATGTTTCAGAAAAATGATCAAAAGTTTTAATGTGTTGATCCCAAAAAAAATCCATTCGAGAGCAACTCAGGTCAGAGGGCGACACACCATCAATAAAAGATTTTGGGGTTTATTAAAAAAAAGATTTTTCGGGTTGAATTTAAGAGTTAAAGACAAAAGGAAAAGATTAAGGAAACCAGAATGAAAACCCAAAGGGCAGCACTCTAAAAAAACCCAAGCTAAAACCTTTGGGGCTGGGAAACCCCAGAAAACTAAAAGTCGGGGCAAACAATCCACCCCATTTTCAAATTAGAACGGGAAGTTTAAACTAAAAGGAAGGAATTTGGGGGGGGGGGGCCGGCACACAGTTAAATTCTAACAAAGAAATTTTTATTTTAATTTTTGTACTAAAAGAAAATTCTGGGGTGTGAGAAGGCAACACTTAACCCAATACTTCTATGGTTTTTTACTAAAAAAGTTCTTTACAAATTATCTAAAAACCAGGGACAAAAAGCCCCTTATCCACATCAAACTTATCCGAGTACGGGAGCATTTTAACTCCAATTTCCTTTTAAAATTTTCAAAAAAACCTTAAAACCATTTCCAAAAATTTTTCTCTTAAAAAAAGAAAAACCTCCAAAAAAATCAGTTTTTAAATCCAAAACGGAAAATAATTGATTTTCACCTTAAATACCCAAATTAAGTATGTTTTTAAAATTTTGGGTTTGAAAAATTTACATTACAAAAATTTATTTTTATATAATATTATATT